CATGCGAGCGCACAAACAAATGTCAGCCAGAGCCCCGCGAGTACTTCTGGGGTGAAATACAACTTGCCGACGGGTTTATGCATCACCAAAACTAGAAACAGAGCGGCTGAGCTGCTCTTTCTAAACAGATGAACCTAATTGAGAACAGAGGAAATTCTGTCAGCTGTGGTTACAAACTCAGTATAACCATTGTGGCATCTCCTTTGGTGGATGAGGCTCAAAATCAAATATACTGTATGCGAGAGTCATTATTGTCTGAGCTACAAGGCTTTTGGTATCTAATCCTTTTACTACCATAAGTGAGATCTGCAGATAGAGCAAGAAAGGAAATGCAATTAATTGAACACACGATAAGACTTCAACTTGGGGTTTACAATTAAATCAGATGTCAATGTCAAGGATGTTCCCATGACTGAATTCCTCTGGATTAAGGAAGTAAGTAAGGAGGAATCTTGTGGTGTTTTTTTGGTTACTTTTTGGTTGATTTATGATCACTTCCCTTTAAACCTAACCAAGAGTTGTAAAAGTGTTTGAAATAGGCATAAAACTCTATGGACCATGTTCCCTTTTGTCTACGTAAAGATGTCCCTTACATAACAGTTTTATGGCTCTACATAGTCAGCTTGTTTTCAGGGTCACTGCTCACTGACGATTCTCTCCACTGCTCACATCTCTAATGGAATAGACTCTGGCTGATGGTGCTAATGGCTGCTATTGATCAAGTAACAGAAACCCAAAAATACAACGATGGCAAAAGCCCTGAGTCATGGCTGCGATCAGATACCCGTCCTACACACATGCATGGTGTTTGAGCTTAGATCCAGGTTTTGTCCAGAACAGGTTTAGACCCAACAAAATTGAATTTACTAATAAATGCCCGTGCATGCTTGGCCTGTTTGTGGTGTTGCATGTGAAATTAAAATGCATTTTTATCACGTGTCATATAAACAAACAATGTAAACAATTTTAGCCCAATGCTAAGTGGCTGATGGACAACCTGACGGCATCATAATATATACCTGAAGTTTTAAAGCTATATGTGAGATGTTACTGTAATGATATAAAAATCATATGGTGCTTCTATAAGGTGTTACAGGTTCATAAATACTAAAAACAGGTTATTTTAGCCGACCGCTATGTAGTTGCTAGGCAACATGAAGACATCACAATATCTGATGTAGATAAGAACCTTCGGGGAAGGAGCTGGCAGACAACCAAACCAGCACACAGACAGAGCTTTTTGTGTAT